TGAGGGCGAAGGACGTTAATCAGGGGTCTAAAGGGAAGATAAATTACGGTATTTGTAAACTTACAAGGCGTAGCGTTCGGCGGTCACCACAAGTGCTTTTAAGTCTTTGTTTTTGCTGATGGTTTGCATATAATTAAAGACCTTGCCTGTGTATTAGGCAACGTAGAACCTTCGGCAATCGTCCCTTTGTGTGAAGGCAGCTCAGAACTCCTGTCCCCATCTACACTCAGCTGTGTACCAGCGTTTAAAAATTTCCATATATATTAAGTTTTTGAAAGAACTTTCCTAATACACCGCGTGTTTCTGTGTGGTGAAATGTTGTACGTGCCTATGATTTCTGAATCGCAGAATCGAAACTAAGAGAATTGCTGCAAACAGAATATTGTGTACCCGCAGCCCTCAAAGAAACACTTAACTATTCGAGTGACTGAGTAATGGACGCACTGTTTCTGTCTTCCTTATCTTATTTACTTCTTTTCTCTTGTTTCTTTCTATAGTTCATATTCCTCGTTCCCTTTATATTTCTTTATTCACAATAGTTTCTGTACTTTATTTTCTTTCTTCCTGTACATGTTCCTGACTGAAATTAACAAACTAACTGACGATTAAACGTCTAAGTAACTGCCCCATTGACACATGAATTTACTAACGGGAAAGTATTCGGTATTGAACAGACTGATCGTTTGACCACTTAACTAACCCATTATAAATTTGCTAAAAACTTGTCTGACGCATTTACTAACGAACTGGATTGTGATCTTGTACGTGGAACCTATCACTTGAAGGTGGACGCGAAAGTTTCCTCAGATTTATAGGATTTGAGGTTTTCACGGCGGTGAGTATGAAGATCTCTGTCTTCTTTCCTCAGATTACCATGATTGCAGGTTGTACTCGGCTCGAATCTCGGCTGGACTGCTGGATATCACGAGGATTACGCGGTTTTCCCCAGTATATTCAAATTCTTACAGCAATTTATGTTAACGGTTTTTCCCCATTCAAAGTTATATAACTCATTGATTAAAAATGTGATTGTTAATGACCTGAGTATCGTTTAAAGATTAGGGTTAGTTCAGATAGGAAATTTACTGAGGTTAATCGCCGGCTGTGGCATCGGGGCTCTCCATGGGAGAAAGGCAGTCGAAGTGTATATACGGTGCCTAGATCAAGAACGCATGTTTACACGCCTTAAGGGTGTGGTATTAAGTGCAGGGACAACTGGCATTCGACAGCGTCTTAAAGGCGAACCACTAGCAGAGAACAAATTACTATGATGTGACCACGGAAATAATGGATCCAGGGATTAAGAAATAGTAAGGGAATTTCTGGAATGTGTAGCTGCCATGTATTGCTCTGATTCTACAGACCGTTTTGGGTACAGTAACACGCTACTCGGTCACAGAGCTGTGGCAGGTATAGTACACAGGCGCTCAATGTGTTTGCGTCGCGTAGTAAGGCCGACGTGCATTCTATTGTCTGTCGCGCATTATGTATGCTATCCCTGAACAAATGAATGGACAATGACTTGATGGACCATCATTGTGTAGCCTTGGCAGTGTGCTGCCTTTTCAAGTCTTGGCAACACTTGACACAGTCAACAAAACAGCTACCTGAATTGTGTCATGTTCCATGTTTTCTGTTTAATCTCCTCGCCTGCTTCGTACTGGAATTAAGAGGGAACACCTAAACTCCAATTTGGACTGGGCCTAAATGTGTTTTGACTCACTACAAGGAGCAGTCTTCTGATGATTTTGCTCAGCGCATTCATTTCTTACACAAAAGATTTAAGAATTCCGTTAGTAACGTTTTTGTGACGATCTCTGTGACGCCATACTTTGCAGGTAAAACTCACACATAATATAACTTATAAGAGGGGAGGGAGAGAGACATTTCGGCGTCATTCTGTAAAGTTTGCTGAATCCTCTTGTTTCAAGTCAGTACCGTGAACTGCTCGTTGCAAATGGTGACGTCACACTTGTCTCAGCAGCGCCTCCCCGTGGAGCTCTCTTACAATGAGACAATTAGCGTCCTGGGACCGTGTACGAAATAACTAGGCATAAAAAATAATGAACCTGGAAGCAACAAGCACACAGATATTTCAGACAAATATCTTATCTGATACGAGCAGTAGCCTATTACTAGTACATGTGTTAGTAACTTGTCACGAATTCAATTTCACTAGCCAGTTAATACTTCTTTAACGAAACGAATCACGAAATCAGAGATCATCATCGTTAATGGTGATTAGTGTTAATGATTAAGAAGAACACTTTCGTGGCCTATCTGAAAGCAATGTTCCGGGATACTCCTGCAGAAATCGAGGAAAACTGTGGTAAAACCTTAGTCGATTGGGTGATCTACAAGTCAAGATTCGAACCGGGTACTTCCAAAATACAAGTATATGACGTGCTTGTTTGAAGAAATGAATGAAAACAAAGAAAGAAAATTAAAGACAGAATAAAACGAGATCGTAAAGACTAAAACACTTTTTTTGTTCGTGCTGTGAGACACTGAAATAAACTATAGTGTGCTGCCACACATGAAAGGCTGTGAAACACACGTTTAAACTCGAAGGTCGTGCTGTGCTCTTTCTACTTTTGGTCTTGTGGTAAAAGTAGGTGGATCGTGATCACTTCCATTACACGGAAGGCTTGGAAACTGAATCAACGTCTCTCAATTCCACACAATTTAATACTTGAAGGAGGAGGGTGTTCCACTATAGGACAGACAGAGGAACGGAATATTAATTTTTACTGCAATATCTTTTTTCTTCTTCAGTTAATTCCAAAGTTAAAGTTTCTGGGATGAAATTTTATTGCAGAAATATTGTAATGTGTCTTTTGCATTACTGTAACGAAATGCGGAATGGAAGCGTTAAATTGTAGCATTAATAGAAGCAAATCTTCTCCCCAACACAACTTTATGCAGTCTAATATCTGCTGAAACCACTTGTACTTAATGCTATTATTTCGTGCAATTAAATTCAGCTGTAGGAAACGCCGGTGAAGTTTTAAACCCCCCCCCCCCCCCAACTGTTCTTGCATGATCGCAGAGATTCTTGTTAGATTATTTAGGCTGAACGCTTCCTGCCTCCTCGTATCTCTTTCCTTTACAGATCTGTAGAAGAAATTAATTCTGTGCATAAAACAGGAAATTCAGTTTGCCAAATTGCGACACACTGAAGTAAAATTCAATATCCTGAGGTAACATGAACGAAAGTAAGCAACAAGTTAATACCATTCTCTCAGGCTTGTAAATTTTGACAAATGTCATATCTTATTTTTCAAAATAATCGATCTCGTTTTCAGAGAACTTGGTCAGGTGGCCCAGAATTTTTCCATTTCATCAGAACAATTTTTATTTTATTTTCGGAAGACCCTCCCAGCATCGTGAATAAGTTGTTTTGTGATGTGATTTTAAAGTAGTGTTACCAGCATTTAAATATTATTTAAACGACTTTCATTTATTAAATTTAACAAGTCCCTCCGTCGCTGTATGAAAGACTGGGGAGAAGAGTCACTTGGCTTTCTTGATCCTAAGAGTTTCGAATCTCCGAACGTAGCCTCCCCAATTAATAAATGCATGAAGGTGGGATAATTAATGTTTTAATTGCCGAACACGACATATGTTTCTCTTTTGCTTTGTGCCAGATTATGAGACAGTTTGAGTTGAGATTTCAGGTTCTCACGGCGTCGAGTATGAAAATGGCTGTCTTTTGTGTTGTTCCGTTTTGTAGCCCTCCTGATGATGACTTCTGAAACGTTGATATACTTCTACCGGACCACACGGTGCTACAACCCAGAAGACAGCCATCTTCGTACTCACCACCGTGATAATCTTCAGTCCTTCTGGCATAAACATGACGTACATCGCGAACTGGAAGGGTGCATATTCGAAAAGTGCAATAGTCTGCAATAGTCTCTATTGTATGCAACCAAACATCTTGGATCTGAGGTTCTCACGGCTGTGAAGATGTCTTCTGGGTTTGCATGTAATGACGCAGATTAATTAACTTTATGACCGTTATTCTAATGGAACGTCAGTAAATGACATTATATTTGTCTAAATGCACTTAGAAATTTTTAGACACAAATTACGTTTCATGTAATTTATATAATAATTTTACTTTGAGGAATTATTCATTTCAAAATTATTTTTTGTTTCAGGTCATGTGAACTGGACTTCTACAACAATACAAAATCCAGGTATGAAATAATAATAATAATAAGTATGTTAATCTTAAAGATGGAAATGTTAACTTATGTTTTGAGACGGCTGGCAGGTTTTAACCGAGTGAAAATGTGTAACACCAAATGAGGAAATATTTTACGCACGCGTAGTTTGCTGTTTTGCATATTTAATTGGCCTCGGTGTTCTTTTATTGCGCATTCAAACACACTGTTGGAAAGCTAATTACACTGTTGAGAATTACATGTTCCTTTTGCATTTCGTTAAGTGCTCATAACATCGTAAAATGTTTAAAGAATAAGTTGACATTTGTTTTGATGTCATGCATCAGGGTTTTGTACAATAAGCCGTTTTTAAACAAAATTCTGTCTTAGCTTAATATAAATCACGTGTTACATTGGATCGATACGAGCGAAAATTAAATTCTTCAATAATGGTTCCTGCAGAAATTTTGAAGGTGAATCGTTCGGCTAAATACTTCCCCATTAAGCGCTCATTTTATGTACGATATTTAAAGAACACACACTCGAGGGAGTGGAAGTGACGACAATTATTTTGTAGTTGACTTTATCTTAGCAACACTAGGCAATATCTGCCAGAGAGATCAGAGAATCTGGTGGATTTTTGCACGCATTTGAATGTACTACATACACAATACATTCGTCTACCTTGTTTTGCCATCAATGCACGCTCTATTTACAATCTGATTACACGCTGCAGTTGGATGAAGCCTATCAGGAAACGTTCAGTGCAGCTTTATCCGGTTAACTCATTAAAATTTCTCGAGAGAAAATAAGAATAGATTTATACATGAAACGAAATCCGTAACACGTGTTCTACTTTTCTCCATTTCCGGTAAAAAGACGTTTCATGCCACCTTGACCGCTTAATGCTCTTGGCTGCCTATTGTTATAATTAACGGGACCTTGGTCCGATCTAATCAGTGTAGGACGCCGTGGCCGAGATGGTTGTGAACGGGCTGATTGTTCCGTTCTGTGGTGATTCTTTCTGCACCATAAAGTAATGGTGCTTAAAAGACTTTATATAAATACTCGTTCTTAGAAATGAGGACTTGGATGTGTTATTAATTACATTTTCATTTCTTCTATAATAAAAAGACGGTGAACTGAGAGCTATGTTCGTGTCTCTGTTAATGTATGTGGTCCGTACCTCTGAAGCGAAGTATTTCTGCATGAATTTGCACGAGGTCATAATCGTGAGTGAAATACGTTGCAAGTTGGTGCAAAGAACACTTTAGCAGGAACGTCGCACGAGGTCATAATCGTGAGTGAAATATGTTGCAAGTGGGTGCAAAGAACACTCTAGCAGGAACGTTGAAGTTCATGTTAATCTAAAAGGCATGTCCTGCTATGAAAAAGTTTGGCTCCTGAATTTTAATTTGAACATTTTATTGAACATGCCAGGCCATCTACGAGTATATAATGTAGTATCTTAGTGTAAGGCGTTCTATACTTGTAACACCGTTAAGGAAAAGGCAGCTCGTTTGTTGAAATACGTGCGCGTTTTGGTTGGTTCTCATGCATTTGAACGTAGGCTCTTGAGAGTCAGAAGTAATGATATTAAAGGCGTGTTTACGTACACGTATAATGCCAGAAACTTTAGATAAACGCATGTGACTCGAACGGTATTCGAACTTCCCATCTTAGTGTTCGTGCAGCCAGAGGGTGGCCCGGAACATATCTTCGCAGAGGCAAAGCCCTTCTGTGTCACGCGGTAATCGGTTCGAATAAAACAACAAACCGTAAAGGGCAGACAAATATCTGAGAAATGAGCAGATGGCAAATATTTACAGTTCAACTTTGCCGTCTGTGCTGTGCAAATAATTGAAGAGTGTACGTAAGGAAAATCGATAGCTACACTGGAAATAGGTTATCCTAAACATCAGGGGACTCACCTGTAGAGAGATTTTGGTCCCTGAGCATGCATCTCTCTCTGCCGGGATTTCCGTGAAATTGGCCAGGTGCTTTAATTCTGTGTATGTTGACGTACTCACAGCATCCCTAGCAGACGAAAATCACACGCCACTACAGACAGCCAAATCGAAGACTTTGGCTTTTGGAGTCGGTGTCCTTAACTCTGTCAACTGATTAACACTTTCCACGCTATTTTAACGATTATTAAAATAGTTTTTTCATAAGAATATTTAACACAGCGAAACTTTGCAAGCACAGTTGGTGTGGTCATGCTATTCTCTCTACATTATAGTTTTTCCTCTGGATCCACTGTTTTCTTCTGTATTTCTTATTTCTCTGTTTTGTTTCTAATTGGTACCATCCATAGATTTATTAACATCTCTTTACAGGAGAAAATATCATCGTATGAGAGATTCGTTAATACTAATGTAGAAATTTGATGCGCGTTCATAACATGAGGAATCACACTGTTTTGGCTGACAGTGTACACATCCCTGAACCGAATGGCGTGAACCAGACAACAGTATCAGCTTAGGAGGTTTTACGTGCCATCGAGACTGTAAATTATTCGAAGTGGGCTCACACGTAAACTCTCCGACGGCTCGAAATTTGGTACACGGAACGCTTAGGAGAAGTGAATTGTCAGAGCCTGATTCGAGGCGTATGGCCGGCCTGCTGGCTGGCGAGTCGTGGCTCTGCCCGAAGTTTACACTTGACCTGCGTTTCGTTCTTGCGACTAATGACTGCTGTCAACAAAGAAAACTGTTTGCCGGTGTCGTGGTTTCGAGAGTATGGGGTGCCGTCAGCCGGGAAATTGTTGCGGGTAGGTTGTACAGCATCCATTTCGTCGCTCTTCATCACAGATATTCACGGTTTGATACAAAATCTAGGTTACTAAGTAGCAAAACCTCGGAACTCCAAGTTGTCACAAAAGTAAGAATTTTGTCAGCACGCGCGATGATCAGACGCAGGCACAAGGACTTTCTTATATTACTACTATTATTGCTACCACCACCATTACTATTATTATTCCATCTATTTAGTGACTAGCTACGGGCTGGACGACCGGAGTTCGATCCCCGACGGGGGCAGAGGATTTTTCCTCTCGCCTCTGCGTCCAGACCGGCTCTGGGGCCCACGCAGCTTTCTCTACAATGGGTACCGTGGTCCTTTCCCGGGGGTAAAGCCGGCCGGGGCGCGATGCTGACCACTC